TCCATAACATTAAAGTGCAGCGTGGAGCAGCAAGTGCTGACTGATGGAGAAACTGCAGCAAATTATCCAGAAAATCTAGCTAAGATCATTGATGAAGGTGGTTACACTAAACAACAGATTTTCAATGTAGATGAATCAACCTTATATTTGAAGAAGAATCCAGCTAGGACTTTCATAGCTACAGAGAAGTTGATGCCTGACTTCAAAGCTTCAAAGGTCAGGGTTACTTTCTTGATAAGTAGCTAAGGCAGTAGTAGCTTTAAGTTGAAGCCAATATGTTCATTTATCATTCTGAAAATCCTAGGGCCCTTAAGTATTATGCTAATCTACTCTGCCTGTGCTCTATAAATGGAACAAGCAAGCCCAGATGACAGCACATCTGTTTATAGCATGGTTTACTGAATATTTAAGCCCACTGCTGAGACATACTGCTAAGAAAAAAATATTATTTTCAAGCTGTTACTGCTTGTGATAGTGTACCTGGTCACCCAAAAGCTCTGATAAAGGTGTACAAGGAAGTTAATGTTGTTTTCATGCCTGCTAATGTAATATCCACTCTGTAGCCTATGGATCAAGGAGTAATTTTGACTTTCAACTTTTTTTTTTTGATTTGGGGTCTCACTCTGTTACCAGACTGGTGTGCAGTGGCACAATCACAGTTCACCACAGCCTTGACCTCCTGGGCTCAGACAATCCTTCTGCTTCAGAGTCAGTAGCTGAGACACAGGCACACACCACTACACCTGGCTAATGTTTTTTATTTTTTGTAGAAATGAGGTCTCACTCTGTTGCCTAGGCTGATCTCAAACTCCTGAGCTCAAGCAATTCTTCCATTTCAGTCTTCCAAAGCACTAAAATTACAGGCATGAGCCACTGTGCCTGGTCTCAACTCTTATTATTTAAGAAACACATTTCATAAGGCCACAGTTGCCATAGATCCTGATTTCCTCTGATGAATCTAGGCAAAGTAAATTGAAAATCTTCTGGAAAGAATTTGATGTTGGGTAGCATGGGATATTGTTGTTCTGTGGGCTCTTGATTCTGCCACAGAAACAAATTTCAGAATGAGTCTGAAGTATAGTTTAAGACAAGATTTATTAGAAGGAAAAGATACATTCAAGAGAGGGCATGGGTGCCTTAAAAGAAAGGACATACTGCCCTGTTGTTAACTGAGTGTTTTATACATTTTCTTAGTGAGAATTAAGCAATCTATTTCTTTTACTTTTTATTTTAAAGATGTGGGGTACAATTCAGGATTAGGTTTACAAGTGGTCATCGTACAAGTAAAAGTTTGGGCCTCCTTTTGGTACCTACTGCACCTGGTTTGAGATCAGGTGCCCTTATTGATGTTATGTGCCCCCGCCCCCAGCAGTTTCCAGTTACTGGTAAATGGTAAATGTTCAGTGTCCACTTATGAGTGAAGCAGCCTATTTCTTAGCAGCAGGTTACAATCTATTGATCACATGTTTCTATTCTCTTTTTGTTTGTTTTAGAGTTGGAGTCTCACTCTGTCATCCAGATTGGAGTGCAGTGGCACACTCCTGACCACCGCAGCCTCGACCTGCTGGGCTCCAGCAATCCTTACGCCTCAGCCTTCCAAGTAGCCGGAACTGCAGGCACGTGCTACTGTGCCTGGCTAGTTGTTGTTTTTTTTTTGGTTTATTGTAGAGATGAGATCTTACCAAGTTGCCCAGGCGGGTCTCGAACCCGCAAGCTCAGGCAATTCACTCACCTTGGCCTCCCAAAGCATGGGATTACAGGCTGAGCCACTGAGCCCAGCCACATGTTTCTATTCTTATCATCTACTTCTGAGCTTACTTGCATCCTGTGAAAATCTCAAGATAATGGTAAAAGTTACTGTTTTACAGCTTAAATTTCTTCCTGAAAACACCATTCCCCAGTGCCTCCGGAAATTCCCTTATTGCCTTGTTTATGGTTTCTATAGCTGAGTGTATTAGCTGCCCTGCACTCTGAAGATTGGGCTTGGGTGCCTGTTCATTATTGGTATTGTTCTAGAGAATAATGTTCTGATAAGACAGTGCCCAGCTGGTTTTCTAATTATCTAAGTTATCCCTGCCTGCAAGAAACTCATTTGTAAGCTATACTAGTTACCCCACCTCAGATTCACCATTCCAGATGCCATTAATAACATCTTTGATTCATGAGAGGATGTGCAAATGTCAAAGTTAACAGGATTCTGGAAGAAGTGGATCCATACTATTATGGATAACTTTGAGGGGTTGAAGACTTCAGTGGAGGAGGTAACTGTAGATGGGTAGAAATAGCAAGAGAACTAGAATTAGAAGTATAGCCTGAAAATGTGACTGAATTGCTGAAGCCTCATGATAAAACTTGAACAGATGAGGAATTGCTTCTTTAGGATGAACAAAGAGAGTGGCCTCTTGAGATGGAACCTACTCCTGGTGAAGATGCTGTCAACATTGTTGGAACTACAACAAAAGATCAGAATATTATATAAACTTAGTTGATAAAGGAGTGGCAGGGTTTGAGAGAACTGACTCCAATTTTGAAAGCAGTTCTACTGTGGGTAAAATACTATCACAAACAGCATCGTGTGCCATCTAGAAATCTTTCATGAAAAGAAAAGTCAATCAATGCAGGAAACTTCATTGTTACCTTATTTTAAGACATTGTCACAGAGCCCCAACCTTCAGCAACCACCATCATAATCAATCAGCAGCCAAAAACATTGAGGCAAAACCTTCCACTAGCAAAAAGACTATGACTCACTGAAGGTCTAGATGATTGTGTGTTTTTAGCAATCAAATATTTTTAAATTAAGGTATGTACATTGTGTTAGACATAATGCTACTGCACACTTAATAGAATACAGTATAATGTAAAAGCAAATTTTATAGGTAAACAAAAAATGTGTGTGATCTCACTTTGTTGCCATATTGTGGTACTCTGAAGTATGCCTGTATGAGATTTTCTATGCTTGGGTTTGGTCCATACGGTAAATACTTGGAGACAAAAGGAACATGGGCAGTGACCACACAGAGGACAATACATATTTGCTGAAAAACAGTAGTACACAGAACTGCTGGCGACTGTAGCCTTGCCCTATTCAGTTGACCTGACTGTGCAGCACATTTTGCCAAGTGTGCAGAGGAACTTTTTGTTGCCAAAAAAGGCAAACTCTGTAAAATATTTAAAGAGGTTTATTCTGAGCCAAATATGAGTGACCATGGCCTACCTTACAGTCTCAAGGGATCCTGAGAACCCAAGGTCGTTGGGTTACAGCTTGGTCTTATACATTTTGGGGGAGACAAGTTACAGGAAAAAACATAAATCTATACATGAAAGTATGCACTGGTTCGGTCCAGAAAGGTGGGACATTTTGAAGCAGTGGAGCTGACAGGTCAAAGGTGAATGCAAAGATTTTCTTTATTATTATTTTTTAGCTGGGGTCTCACTCTGTCACCCAGGCTGGAATGCAGTGGTACGATCACTGCTCATCGCTGCCTTGACCTCCTGGGCTCAAGTGATCCTCCCAGCTCAGTCTCCCAAGTAGCAGGGACTACAGCAGCACTACCATGCCAGCTAATTTTTTCATTTTTTGTAAAGAGGAGGTCTCACTGTATTGCCCAGGCTGGTTTCAAATTCCTAAACTCAAGTGATCCTCCTGCCTGGGCCTCCCAAAGCGGTGAGATTACAGGGGTGAGCCACCACACCTGGCCTCAAAGATTTTCTGACTGGCACTTGGGTGAGAGTTAAGCTCTAAAAAATTTGATGTCTGTAGAAAGAAAAGCTTGAGTTATGATAAGAGGGGTTGTGGAAGCCAGGGTTCTTGTACAGATGAAGCCTCTAGGTAGCAGGTGGTAAATGTCTCTCTTCCAGCCTTAAAAGACGGCAGACTCTCAGTTAAATTTCTCCTGGATCTGGGAGAGACCTAGGCAAGAAGAGTCTCTACAGACACAAATTTCACTCAGAGACAGATTGGCAGGGCTATTCCAAAATATGTCAAAGAAATATATGTTGTGGGTAAGGTATTTTTATTTCCTTTAGGGTCTACTATTTCTCATGTGATGTTACACAAGAGTCAGGTTGGAATTTGGTATCTTATTTTCACAGTCTGTTTTGTCAGCCTTAATGCTAGTCAGTGCTACCTAAACTCCAAAGGGGAGGAGGTATAAGCGCGGTGTGTTCGCCTTCCTTTTCCATCATGGCCTGGGATTGAATTTTTCAGGTTTCCCTTGGTCCAGAGGGATCCGTTCCGTTTGTTGGGGGGCTTGGGATTTTATTTTTGCCTTACAGCTTCCTACTTAGTCAAAAAGTGCTGGGCTTGTTTTCCGGCGCCCACAACCAAGATCCCGACCGAGAGTCCCGAGACCCACCTTCGATGGAGGGAACTCCCCGCAGCAACGCCCCAAGGCGGGGCGTGACCCTACGAAGCCACCCATTTAGCCCGCGGACCGGGGCACCGCCCGCACATGCCACCGAGCCCGGGGAGCTGGAAGGGCCGCCCGGAGCCCGCGCCCCGCCTGTGAGTGTCCGGGGGCG